GAAATCGAGAGCGTGAGGAGAAGCCCAGATCCCCTGCATATGGATGCAGGGTGCCCTCTGCAGTCCTGGAAGATGTCTCTGTCTTCCTTAATGATGCAGCAGGACCCCTCGTTTACCTGAAGAGTTCGAGGTCACAGGACACAGGACGCTGGGCACAAAGATGGGTCATGAGGCCAAATGCACAAAACCAAATGCACTGAAAGTCCCCGGAAAGACCCAGAGAACTGAAGAAGGCCTCGAACACAGCAGGAATCATCAGGGAAACACCGCAAGCTGGGCAGCACCCTGTGTGGGTGCTAATTTGTTGGTTTATTGATTGTACTGTGGTTGTGCACAATGCTAGCTTCAGGGGGAGCTGGCTTGAGAGCAGATAGCACCCAGGGCCAGCTTCGCAGGTCCTGCAAGTCTGCAGGACACCAAGGTGAAGGTTGTAGCATGCTGGGGAGGATGGGCTGGAGCGCCCTCTGGGGTTAGGGCAGGAGAAAGCAGGGGTTGATGGGATGTCTGTGGCTCACCAAGTGCCTCTACAAACTTCCTCATTAGAAATTAAATACACATGGAGCTCATCATCAGTACAACAGCACAGTGGATAAACATCATGGAGGGATTCTGAAGCTCACAGTGCGTCTCCAGCTCCTTTGAAATCTTGTTTTGGCTTCTCCAGCCACTGGCTAGGTTGATTTAAAATTGAAGATGCAGTGGCATGTGGTGGTGCCTGGTCTGGGGGCAGGGCGAAGCCTATGCTGCTCAGTGAGGGAAAACCCTGGTCTTATGTCCTCCAAGAGGGATGAGTTCCCTCTCCTCGCTACCAAGCAGGTTTAGCCCAGCTGGGCAGCTGCATGCTTGCCCTTCTCCCTGCCCCAGTACCTCAGCCAGGCAGGCTATGGCACCTGTTGCTCTGCCTACTGGACACCTACATGTACTCCAACACTGTTCCCCTCCTGCCTTACGTGACTTCACTGGATGTGGAATGGGACGGCCTGGGGTCTCCTCTTGGAGACACACAGCTCAGGAAATGCAGAGATGACAGAGATGTCCTGTGGGCATGAAGATGGGCTCAGTGAGGTGACTTCAGAGGGCATGGGGCTTGGGGAGGTGTGGGATGTGCAGGAGGATGAGAAACAGATGAGGCTGCCAGACCCTCTCTTGATGACCAGAGCACACGCAGCCAGCTGTGTTCTGGACACACTTAAAACACATTTGCTACTCTTCCACTGCTCTCTCAACACAGCAGTGGGGGGAGTGATAGTTCTTGCTGCATCCTCCAAAGAGGCAACTGCCTACTCCCTGGATTCGGCCCAGACAATGTAACCTCAGTCCCTCCAACTGCCACGTCTTAACTTAGAAACCCTACTAGCTTACTACTAAAATAAAGCCAGTTTTCATTCTTTTTGATATTTCCAGAGTTACAAGTTATACACCATCAAATCACTCCAGGGAAAAAGAAGAATGCATGCTTTCACTCTCCTTTATTGCAAGCAAAAGTGTAATTTATCAGCCTCTGTCGCACAGTGAACTGGAAACTGCAGCTCTCTGTTAGAGGACCAGACTCACAGAAGAAACTGACACAAAATCCAATCTGATTCATTTAAAAACTCGGTCTTATCTGATATCCACACAGACGGGTGCGTTGTAATCACCCCTCCCCCATTTAACACCGAGGGCTGAGGCGCATGACGTCATACGCTGTATTTAGCCCATCTCCATGGCAACGCCCAAGCAACACAGCTGAATTGCTAATTTCACTCCAAGTTTAATGAATATAAAGCTAATCCTATTATTATTCTTAACAGTTTTCCAAGTGGCTTCTTCCTGCTTGTGTATTCTGTCCTTTAAAAGCAGATTATTGGAAAATTACACGTGTGACACAGTCAGTCCCTGATGGTCTTCAGCACAGGCCCCTGCTACTCACGCAGTACCCCAAAAGTGAGAAGCAGATCTCCTCTGCCCACCGTGCACCTTCGTGTTTTTCTTGCAATTCCAGGATGAGTAATTGCTGTTAAATACAGCAATTTGGGCCATTAAACATTTCAGAAACTGTCACTAAAATTACGGTGAAATAATAGTTTTTAAGACAGGCCACATTATGTGCATTTGTACAGATGTTAAAGGGTTCTTCCATCACTCCATTCTGTATTGTAAATGTGCTCACAGAAATTTCGATGGCTGTAGATGAAGGCCTCTTTTCCCTTCATCCTGCACCAAAGAACAGCTGAGATCTGAGCGATCCACTGAAACATAATCCTGGTTTAGGACCATTTCCAGACATCCTTATTAAGATAAGTGCGGAAGTCAAAAACCAAAACACAAACAACAAAATCCTGCAGTTTGTGCCCCATTGCTCACTGATGTAGCACAGGCTGGCCTCAGTTGTTCGGTCTCCCTGGGTTGAGCACCCACCTGGTACCTGGAGAAGGCGTAGGTCTAGGCTGCACCTGTGCGCAGGTGCTCTCCACCCTCTCTCCTCATGCTCAGAGCCAGACAGGATAGGAGGACACAGTGAGCAGAAGCCCCAGTCTGCCCTGTGCCCCAGCTCTGCCGAGCTCAGTGGGGTCTCTGCAACCTTTCATTCTTGTTCGGCACAGGTTCCTGAAGGGTTTCATGGGTGGAATAGGCGGGGACAATGCCGTGACACTCCAGGAGCTTCTGCACCACACACAGAATACAGCACAAGGCACTAGACTGCATGGAGGAATGGGGCCCTGACAAGAGGGAGAGAGCTTGTTCAGTCAGCAGGACTGGAAGCCACATCGGGTCTCAGTCCCCATGGACACTTTCTGCCAGCTTCCTTGAACACTACCTGGGAAATGGCGGATACCTGGAAGAGGCTTCTTCTGGTTTGACCCAGCCCCACCATGCTGGAGTCGTCTCCCGGCCACCTAGACAATACTGTGTCCAGGACAGTGGTCTGCCTGGCCACCCTGGGCCCTTGGGCTGCTGCCTCACTCAGCTGTGCCAACAGAAACCATAGCGAAGCATCACAGCCCCTCCTCATACACCTGTGTGAGCACGCTCTCACAGCTGCTTGGGATGCACACTGAGCAAGGCGGAGTGACAGATTAAGCCACAGGGAATCAAAGTTAAGAGAGAAATAAGTAGAGATAGGGAAGAAATGGGCAAAATTAAGGGGAATTATGTGCTGTAACTCCTGAGTCCCCTGTGGGTCAGAATTAGTGGACTGAAATGAGCATCACTTAGGCAGCAGGAGGTACTCATACAGGAAGGAACCCCATTCCCCACCCCTGGTTTTCAGGACTTGTTGCTGTTTTGGCATCTTGTATTTCCACTTCAGACATTGACTTGCCCTCCACAGCACGTGTTTTTCTTTCTTGTACGAGCTAAGTTTGTAAATCCACTGCTAGATTCCAAAAGCACGAACTCGGTTGCTTATCCTTTGCAAGCTACCTCCACTCTGAGGCCCTCCAGCAAAGCCACCAGCCAGCCAGTGTCTACGGAATGCATGTGGTTGCGGTCCTGAGAGCTAACCACACAGTCTCTGAGAACCCCTGCCACTTACTTCTATGTTAGGAACTTTAAAGAATAAAGAATGTCCTTTCAAACTTAGACTTATGTTTGACCACTTGATTCTCTGATAAAGACTGGTAGAGATTACGCACTCGGTAGATGTATAGTGAATTAATTTTAACAAGATACATTGTAATTTAGCCCCTCTTTATGCAAATAAACATGCACAGTCATGAGATTGTTTGTGGAAGAAACCAAAGTGGAGTCCAGGATAGTCTTCTGATTCTGAGGTAGACACTGCCCACAAATTACTCTAAGGCCAAACCACCAAGCTGGACAATAATTTCAACAAATGCTCCAGTGATGCAACTATATAAAATGAGCACATGGGCCACACACTAGCCTAAAAGTGTTATTCAGGGTGAATCAATTAAAGTGAAGATGGCATGTTGCATTTTTGTTTTCTAATTGGAATATCATTAATCATAACCTAACAGCCAAAGAAGGAAGGGATTTATACAAATATAAATATTTACATGAATTTATATGAATATAAATATTTACATGAATACAAATTCATTGCCATGAGCCTTGACCTTTGAAGACAAAGCATGGTTCATTTTCAATGTGTTTCACATTTGGCCTTCTTATTGTTTAGCCTCTGTAATGAGATGAGACCCTGACCCTCAAGAAAAATTTATGACCACTGTTTTCATTTCTTCATCTATTTATAGACTTTCTCTGTGGTCCTCCCTAGCCTGAGTAGATTATCCCTGAATTGTTTCACTAATCAAGATCTGCAGTAGAAAACTGCAACAGTACAAAACCCAGATATTTAGAGTAAATATCAGCAGCCAACAAGTGAGTTCATTAGAGATGTAACTTAAGGCTTTAGACTCCTGCGTTTCTCTAAGTGTCCCATTTAAACTATCCCTGCTGGCGGCCAGTGTTTCCTGAAGCCAGCACTTCTGAAGCTACAGGGTGGCCATAATGCAGCGACTCTGGATTTCTGTGCTGAGCCATGCACACACCACATCATGGACCTCTCTGTGGATTTCAAGTGCATTGGACTTTGTATCACTAGGTTTGCCTGTGGCCTTCTTATTGTCACAGGCCCATCCTCAGAGGGAGCCCCTGGACTGCAGAGACCACAAGCAAGGAGTGGCAGCCCTACCACCACAGGTCTACAGCAGACTTGGTCTACAAGAATCAAAGTAACGCCACAGTCTCAGATCAGCTCCACAGTGACTCTGGCCCATACCAAACCCAGAGCCAGCCCTGTCCTTTAGCTGCACCTTCTGAATTGCTGTAATGATGCAACTCTATGTCAGATGGAGAACATTCCATTGCACAGGTGACTTCTCCAGCATCAAATACCAACACAAAGGCGGACCCGGAACTTTGCAATACATCACAGTTAAGAGGAGTCAATCTTGGACTCTCATGCTGGCAAGAGGATGTCCCCAGGAGCCACCTGGCCATGCCCAGTGGTATCTGTGTGACCACCCCAGCAGCCCACCTGTCCCCCGGCTCACCATATGGATGGTGCTTCTGTGCCGCTGATCTCCAGGAAGTCGTACCCATCCTCCAGCTGGAAGTCGGTGAAGACCAATGCAATGGTGTCCCCCGGCTCGGCAAGGACAGTCCAGGTGCAGTCAGCATTGTTCTCGTACTCAGAGGGGAAGTGTGGACTGGATATGGTGCTGCTGGTCCCCCGCAGGGTGCCTCCACAGGCACCTTCGGCTGCAGGGACATAAGAGGATACAGCGTTGTGTCTAAGGGTGCCTGCAGGGTGTGAAGGTGGCCCCAGCATGTTCCTATCAACCATAGATAAACACGTTCTGGACTCAAAATGGAGATGATCAGAAGAACCTCTTTGACTTGCTCACCTCTGTCTATGGAAAGGCTCACAGAAGATTAGTAGTCAAGCTGCATTAGGATCAAGTGGTTATTGTAGGAAAAAGTAGAATTATGGCTTTCTTGGGCTGGGTTAAGGGCAAATAAATTTGATAATAAAAAAGTGAAGTGTAGTACATTCTGTTAGTCTTTGGACAAGTCTATCTTTTCACAGGGAGATAAGGCAGACAAGAATAAATGAGATATATTTACTTAGTAGTAATTAAATCACATCTGAATGTAAATATATCACAAATTTGGCAATGCAAAAATGTCTACAGTGATATTTTGCAAGCATGAATACATCAGGTGTGTGTTCATCATCAGTAACATCCAATAAACACTTTCTAATATTTACATTTTCTTCTTTCCTCAGATTTCATTGTGTTCTCCAAATTTAAGTTCTCTCTGTACAAGAGAGGTCAAATGTGTACAAAACAAAAGTAGCTATAATACTTTGATTATATAAAAATGTGAGACATCCTCAAAGAATGGACTCAGGAGTTACCAGGGTTCAGTGCTGTGCTTGGATGACTGGAGGGAGGCAGAAAATTAAATACAACTTCCGAGCCTGTACCACTCCTTATGTACCCCAACTTCTTGGCATGCAAGTGCCCCTTCCAACTTTTAGGCTGGAAAATATCCATACACCTTGTTGTTCAGATTACAAGATTTCAGCATGAAAAAAATGATCAATTATTTTTGTAAGAGATTTTATCTTCTAAACTGAAATGTCTTCCATATCCAAATACATAATAGTACCTGAAGAAGTTCTACCGATTTATGATATTCACCGAGTAATGTGCTTTTAAATATGAATTATTGTGTTTTAGATTTAGATTTAAGTATATCTACAATGTGGTTAGTTTCTAAATTGTGTAACATGGCAAACAGTTTTTGAAGCATGGTTTTACTTGGGAAGATGAATCAGTAAATTTTAACTAATCACTCAATTAGTTAATTTCAGAAATCATATTTACTTATCAACTTATCTTCCAGTGCAGTTGCCAAAATATTTTCATTTCATTGTTCCAAACTATCACCAAATAAAAAGTCTGTGCTGATCAGAAATGAATTGCCTCTATTTTTGTAACTTTGAGTGTTCTATAGAAAGAAGGCTTCACTTAACAAAATACATTGAAATATGAAATTGGAATTTGAAAAATATTTGAAAGTCTTTCATAAACATGTTGCACATAAATTAGCATGTTTTAAGCTATAACATAATATATGAATTAATAATAGGAAATAACCCAATTATCTCAACTAAAAATGATGAATGTTTCTCAAGCAGAATAACCTAAAGTGAACCAGTCTACCCATGTTGTATTGTTTCAAAGCAAACATACAAACAAACCTAACATTTAAACCCACAGTGAAAAAGAATGTTTGCAGAATTACAAGAGAGGAATATTATTTAAAATTATTTGAATTATATTTTTAAGACGAAGACACAAAAGATACATGAAAAAAAGTTAAATTTCAGAATTAAGAAAATATACTGTGGCAAAGTTTCAGTCTGTCTTTTTATCACAGATAATCAAATTAGAACAACAGTGAAATATCGTCTAAAATCAATTTAAAAGCAAAAGTTTGAAAATGTATGAAAACCACGAGTAAAACCTGATCTATTTTATGTCCCTAATTTCAGTGTACATTAATGAGAAGCTGGCAAATTTGGTTATGATCAGCAGAAGAACGACTGTGTCCACATATTTTGGCAAACTTCTAAGGTTTCAGTCTTCCACTTATGGAGCATGTTCCGTGTCTACATTCCATGCTACGCTCTTTATGGCGACTCATTTAATCATTTCAAAACTGTATCAGGAAATTTTGTAACTGTTTCAATTCCACAATAGTTAAAAGCAAATTTTGAGTTATTTAAAAGAAAACAAATCCATCAACTGAGAAACCAAGAACATCATGAAACAAACCAACATGACCGATGGAGTAACGAGAGCTATTAGTCCAAATCCCTGATTGCACAGCAGAGTGTGTGATGCCTGCTACGTGGAGAAGCAGGGCAGTGCTGTGACACAGGCTCACACATGTGCAAGACAGCTGAGAACGAAGAACACACGGAGCACAGAAGACTTAAAGTAATTGTAGTCCCATGAGTGATTAAAAATCCTTCAATTTTTAAAAAAATCAACAGTTCAGTGAACAAAACCCTTCCTAAATTAATGAATGAAAGTGCATATAAGAGTAAAAGTGATATTTTGGGGTTGTTTGAATTAGACTTGATACTTCTCCGTTTCTTAATCCCATGGGTAAAACAAGAGAATAAAGTAATATCTGTAGTCCCTCTTTGCAATCTACATATGTAGATAAGGATGTCACAATGTTATATTTCCTTCAAGTGAAACACAGAAAGAAGGTAGGACCAACTCACCACTAGTTCTCACAGACTACATTATGATTACTCTTGGTTACATTATATAAAGAACCCAAAAGTATTTTTTGCAGTTTTCAGTGTTCAACAAGAGAACGAAAGCACATTACTACTTTTCAGTTACTGCTTTCCATTATTTTGAAGTATATCTCTTAGTACATTTAAATGGGCTTGGTTCTGCACACCTAAAATCTCAGCTGCTGAGGAGGCGGAGGAAAGAGAATACCTGCCTGGGCCCGCTGCAGCCTCCCTGTGCCTGCCTTCTGTAAGATGGTACCCACACAGCAGGCTCCATCCAGGGCTCTCCACACTCCTCGGAGACCCCAGTCCTAATGCTCATACTTCCTCTTTGGGCTTTCTAGCACCAAGAGTGTGTCTGTCTGCCATGGGGCAGCCACACGCCTAGGACTTCACATCTCCAAGGGCTGTTTGTAGATGAGGAGGGAGGAATTTGGTGAACAAATATTCCCCTTTGCTTCTGGAGAATTCTAGTGTGCAATTCACAGACAATCAAGAAAGCTCCAGGATGACTTTGTACACACCTGTTGCCCTAACATGAATCATACATTTAATATAAATTTATCCACTTCTCCACTTCCAAATTCTGTGTCTTGAATCTCTGCCCAAACACCCTGGTTCTATCTAAGCTGGATGTCAAAGCCCGCTCTTGGATGAAGGGGCCAAGCAAGCAGAGAGATGTGAGTTGTGCACGTCTGTACAGATACATTGTGATTCTTCAACCTCTAGCTTTGCTCACACAATTCTCCCTGTCTCAGAAGGAAGGCTATTACACATGAACTGCTCCTGAAAACCTGACCATTTTTATCCTCCCCAATATTAACTTACAAGAGTTTTCCAGTAATCCTCAGAGTGAGAAGACAACTTAGAGATTGGAAGAAAATGTTTCTAAAAGAAACATTTGATATGGTTTTGATATCCAGGATATGAGGAAAACAGTAATACAAAAAAAGTTATAAGTTCATGAAAATGGATAACACATTTACATAGACATTTCTTAAAAGAAGCTCTAAAAATGGACAACAGATAAATGAAAAACTGTTTGTCATTAATCATCAGGGAAATGTAAATTTAAACCAGAGTGAATACCACTATACTCTAGTGGGGATGACTGCTATCCAAATCTAAAGATAACAACTGTTTGGTGAGTGACAGGAATGGAGCCATTGCACACTGCTGATAAAAACATAAATCAGTGTAGCCATTGTGGAAACACAGGGGTTCCTCAAAAATTAAAAAAAAAAAAATGGAACTACCACGTGGACCCACAGCCTGCTTGCTGGGTGTTTGTCCACAGGAGATGAGATCAATACATCCAGGAGATATGGGGCTCATTGGTGCAGTGCAGCACTGTCCAAAGAGCCAGACACGGGGCAGCAGGTCTCTGTCAACAGAGGGACAAAAGAGACACGGTGGTGGTATGCACACCGAGGAAGTCTAATTAGTGACAAGATGAAACTCTCCTGCTTGTGATAACTTGAATAAACTCATTATGTAAAAATCAGTGAAAATCATTATTTGAAGTGAAGTGATCAAGGCACAGAAAGTCACATCCTGCATGGCTGCACTCATGTGTAGAATCTAAAGAAGCTGATTTCACAGACTGGCAGAGATGGGGGCAAGGCCAGGTGAGAGGCTGGGAGAGGAAGGAGAGAGGCTGAGGAGAGGCAGAGGAGAGGCTGGGAGAGGTAGGGGAGAAGCTGCGAGAAGCAGCGGAGAGGTAGGGGAGAGGCTGGGAGAGGCAGGAGAGGAGCAAGGGAGAGGCAGGAGAGAGAAGCGGGGAGGCTGGCCAGTGGATGCTGAGCTTCACAGAGAGGAAATCTGGTCTTGCATGGAGGGTGGAATATATATAAGACAACACGTATTTCGAAAAGCAGGAAGAGAGGATTTTAAATGTTTTCACCATAGAGGAATGATGAGCATTTGATCAAATAAGTGCAGTTAAACATTGGTGTATATATCTAATATTGTGTTATATAATATATTCTAGCATTATATACATACACACACACACACACACACACACACACACACACACATCACAGTATCCCAATAATGTGTAGTTTTTGTTTTTTGTATCAGTTTAAAAGCAAACCTCTCAGGGTTATCACAACTGACATTTGTTGATTCCCAATTCTTTGCCATGGGTTCCATACCAGAGTAAAAAGCAGCCCAGCCTTTGCCCAATGATTGCCAAGAATCTCCCCCAAGTGAGGCCTCGAGATGCTCCCTGGAGACAGCAGTGCTCCGGGCTGCACAGGGCTTATTCAGCTGAACCTCAGTTTTCTCTTCCTCACTTTATGTGGCAACATTACACAGAGCCTTTGAGCAAAGTCAGTGGAACCCTGATACAATTCTGTAGTAGTCTTTCTTAGAGTCAAGCTTAGTAATTGCTTCAGCTTATTTAATTTATAAAAATGCAAGGATAATTTTATGT